TGCAAGTATCACACATATACCACACACAGACTCCATTCCATGTTTTGTTAACACTGTCACCTGGTGACCCAGGGCATGAAATGTTAACGTCCCAAGTGATTCCTACTGCTGAGTACTTTTGGCTGTAAAGGCATCACCTTTGTCTGGCTAGATGTATCTGGAGAATCCATATATGCAACACAGAATAGTAGGGTCTACCAGGTGTCACAGTGTACCCCTGTAATCCTAGCACACGGGAGGCAGAGGCAGAATTGTGAAGCAATCTCTGTCTGAAAAAAATAGTGGGTAGCCAGGTGTGGTGATGTGCACCTTTAATCCCAGCACTCAGGAGGAGCAGGCAGACAGATCTCTGTGAGATCAAGGCCAGCCCAGTCTACATAGCAAGTTCTAGGCAAGCTGGGGCTACAGGGAGACCTTGTCTCAAAAAGACGGAAAAAAAAAAGGGGGGGGGTTTGGTGGCTCACTCCTATAAATCTCGCACTTGGGAGATAGAAGCAGGAGGATCATGAGTTCAAGGTCAGCCTTGGCTACATAACAAGTTTGAGGCTAGCTTGGGCTATAAAAGACCCTGTCTCAAAAAAACAAAAAAGAGCCAGGCATGGTGTCCCATACCTATAATCCAGTACTCAGGAGGCACAGGCAAGAGGATTGCCCACAAGTTTGGGCCAACCTGGTCTATATAATGAGTTCTAGATTAGCCATGACTGCATAGCATGACTATGTCTCAAATAACAAAATATATAATAGAACCTTCATTTTCTATGCATATGGGGACTGCTATGTCATATTTGAGAAAAGTTATTTTCTTCAGTCAACATCCAACAGTACCCTCAGTGGGAAAGTAGGAGACCCATCTGGTCTACTCACCAGAACCGTCTGGGTTTAAGTACCCAGACCATGAGTTCTCTTGGCCACTCAGCTGTGTAGCTAATGTCCAGGCACATTGGCCATGCTTCTTTGGCCTTGTGTTATGCTGGGATCATGGAGTTTTCTTTTAGCTTCATTCAGTCCTGGATAGCTTGCCCCGTCCTGGGTGACAGTGACTATGTTTTTTATTGAGCAGCGTAGGACTGACCTGGCTTCCACCAATGCTCATGGTGAAAGGGTCCTTTTCCATGACAACCATGTTGAAACGATCTTACTCAAGTGTCATAATGTTCTTCCTATGCAACTTGGGACTTACTTATCCCCTGACCCAGCCACTGGGCACTCAAGACTGCCAACCCATTGGCTGCTGCTCATGAGTCAGTAAAAATATAGCAAGGTGCATCATGATTGATGTTTGACTGGCCATATCCCACAGACCTTGTCTCTGCCTATTGGATGAAGTTCCCTTTCTGTGCAAAATTGTTCAAATTGTGGCAACACAGCACAGCTGCTTGGTGCATTCCACAGGCCACTAGCTCAGCTGACCAGTCCTCCAATCAGGTCTAGGTTCACAAGGACCTTAGCATTAGAGGACCCCAAGAAAGCCAAGGTACCGGCCAAGACTCAGCCTCTGCGTTAGCCATAGCTGGTGTCTTGTCGGCTCCCTTTTTTGCCCAAGTGAGAACTCCTACAGTCTCATGGTTGGCTCCTTTCAAGGAATTCTGTCCTTGGGTGACACATGCTTGCTGGGCACTGTTCACCCCACTAGAGTTTTCATCCCCGTTCCATCCCAAATGAAGGTGTTAAACTGGGTGTGGGGACTTATATCTGCCTTCCCAGCACTCAAGAGGTTGAGGCAGGAGGATCATTATGAATTCAAGGCCAGACTGGGTTACATAGTGAGTTCTAGGCCATCCTGGTCTGCAAGTGTGAGACCCTGTCTCACAAAAGAAAAATATTCCATCGCTTTGGAGAGAGAGGCAGGCAGATTTCTGTGAGTTCAGGCCTGGTCTACACAGTGAGTTCCAGGCCAGCCAGGGCTGCATAGTGAGAGTCTCTCTTAAAACAAAACATTTTTTTAAAGTTAGAATATAAAGACACCCAGGGTCTGTGAGATGACTTAGCAGATAAAGGTATTTGCCAACTAGACTGAAGACTGGAGTTCAATTTCAGAAACCTATATGGTGGAAAGAGAGAATGGACTTCCACAGGTTGCCCCCTGACCTCCACACAGGTACTGTGATATGTGTACTCCCCAGGATAAATAAATGTGAAAAAAATTAAGACATCTCATTTATCAGTAATCACAGACATACAATAACAAGGTGGCTGTTGCCACTCAGACAAGGGGTCTAGAGCTCAGAATTGAGTATAAAACTTACAGATGCCTTTGCCTCAGATGATGAGCTCCTTCCACAGGCTCCAATCTTTGTAATCATCCATCACAGACACTTTTCATTCAAGTCTCAATAGAAAAATTGGTAAGCTGGATGTGATGGTATATACCTGTAATCTATTATTTTTTTATTTTTTTGTCTTTTTGAGACAGGGTTTCCCTGTAGCCCCAGCTGGCCGGAACTCACTATGCAGACCAGGCTGGCCTCGAACTCACAGAGATCCACCTGCCTCTGCCTCCTAAGTGCTGGGATTAAAGGCGTGCGCCACCACACCCGGCTTGGGACAATTTTTTAATTATATTTTATTTTGTTTTGGGGAGACAGAGTGTCACTCTGTAGCCCAGGCTAGCCTGGAACTCAAGATCTTCCTGTCTCAACCTCCTAGATGCTAAGATTACAGGTATGTAGCCAGCGAGACTCCTTTTCCCTCCCCAGTCTGGGAGATAGTTCAAATGCACAATGTGATGGGGTGACTTCATCATCTGGGACCTGGGTTCACCAGTATGAATTCAGGCTGGGTCACAGTGGCCTGAATTGCTAAGTCCTCCCTCCGCCCCAATCGGGTAAGAATTCATCCCAGTGACCACTTGCATGGCAGCTGTGAACACACTCTGCAACAAGCCCTTATTGCACTTTGTATTTTCTCCTTCATGTCCACATCATGGTTGCAGCCAAAAGTGTCCTGGAGCGTGGGGTCAGTTGTTCAGCAATTGAGTGACTCTGTTCCTCTCAGTCAGCCTGGTACCCTCGTCTGTCAGTGGGATGAGCCAAGTCTGTGGTTTCACTGGAAACCAATAAGACTTTTTGTTCAGGTCTCTCTCTCTCACTTCTGGTAAGTGGCTCTCAGAGGTGGGTGTGGTGTGCACACCTTTAATCCCAGCACTCGGGAGGTAGAGACAGGTGGTTCTATGTGAGTAAAAGTCTAGCCAAGTCTATATAGTAAGTTCTAGGCCAGCCAGGACTACCTAGTAAGACCTTGTCTCAAAAAACAATCAACAGCAATAACAATAACAACTCAGTACATTTCTGAGTGGGTGATCGTTGTTCCTCCTGTCCCTTGGGTATTCTTGGATATTTTTTTTTACTTTAAATTATGTGTATATGTGTATGTGGGCTTGTACACATGTGTGCAGGTGCCCACAGAGGCCAGAGGCATCAGATCCCCTGAAAATGGAGGTACAGATAGCTGTGAGTCACCTGATATGGGTGTTAGGAACTGAACACAGGTCTTCTGGAAGGTCCTAACTGCTGAGTCATCTCTCCAGTCCCCCCCCCCTTTTTTTTTTTGCCATTTATCTATTGTTTTTGTTTGTTTAGAAAGGTCTCGTGTAACCCAGGCTAGCCTCAAACTTACTATATAGCTGAGGCTGGTCTTGAATTCTTGATCCTCCAATCTTTGAAGTGCTAGGAATTGTGTGTGTGGTACTAAGGATAGGACCCAGGTACTCATACATCCTAGGGCTTTCTTTTCTCTCTGAAAACTGATGTCACAGGTGAGTGCCACCATGACTGGCCAAGGATTTTTTCCCAGTACTGGGTTCTTACTGGTTCCAAGGCTCTCACTGCTTTGTTTCTTTGTTTTATAAACCACTCCATTGGGAATGGTCTGCTTTGTTCTGTTTTTGTTAAGCCTCACACTTCCTATGATCTTGGCCTTCCCTGTTGGTGCAGGGAATATCTTAATGCCTAGAGATTTTGATAGGACTTAGGGGACTTTGCAAAGGCTTCTGGGGCAGCCACCCCATTGTGCAGGCACTCATTTTGAGAGACGAACTCCTCAGAAAAGCGTTTTCTTCCTTTTTAGTTATACCCATCTCCTTTGTGGGGAATCCTAACTTATTTTCCTGTTTTCTCACCTCTTCCCGAAGTTTCTGTGACTGTTGTTCACATCCACAGTGTCACTTAGTCTCTAATACTTATAGCTAATGCCTTTCCTACCTCTGTCACCAGTCTGTGGGCTTACAGACTAATCTACACACTTTTTAATCTCCACAGGCCCTGGAAAAGTCTCTAAAATGGCCATTCTTTGGCCCATTGTGTTCTAGCTGTGATCCTGTTCCAAGGAACAAGGTCAAAGTGTGCACATCATCCTGAGCTCCTCTCCTGGATCAGTCTCACTCTCTCTCGCTCTCTCTTACAAAGATTTATACATGCCTTTAATCCCAGATGATTTCTGTGAATTTGAGGCCAGCCTGGTCTACATAACGAGTTTCAGGCCAGCTGGGGCTACAGCAAGACCCTGTATCAAAAAAAAAAAAAAAAAGATTATTTTCAGTTATGTGTATGTGTAGAGTTTAACACCATGTGCCATGTACGTGGCATATCCTGAACTGGAGTTACAGGTACTTATGAGCTGTCTGATGTGGGTGCTGGGAACTGAGCCCAGGTCCTCTGCAAGAACAGTACATGCTTTTTTTTTTTTTGGTCTTTTTAAGACAGGGTCTCCCTATAGCCCCAGCTGGCCTGGAACTCACTATGTAGACCAGGTTGGCCTTGAACTCACAGAGATTCACCTGCCTCTGCCTCCTGACTGCTGAAAGGCATGTGCCTCATGCCCAGCCAATACATGCTCTTAACCATTGAATCATTTCTCCAGCTCCCTGGTTCTGTGTCTTTTATCCAACCCCTGCCAAACCATGTCAGCTCTGCTCCACGTGGACTGACTTTCCACACCCACCATAAGGTCTTCTCTTAATACCAAGCCTCCAGAGGAATGCACATGCCAAGAGCACCTGATGGGTACAAGTGGTTTTATTATTTCTGCCTAGGAGAAGAATTCCAGCAAAAATGGGGCCACAGGGCCTATTTGGGCCTGTTCCCTGGCAGCAGTCCCACAGATAGTAGCTGGAACCCGTGTGTTGGAGCTGTCCAGGGGTGAGTGGGAGCCGCTGAAGAGGTACACTCTGGTCTGGACAGGCCACTGGCTTCAGCAGGAGACTCTCGGCCTTACCGATGCCGCTTTCGGATGCTCTGTAGCTCCTGGCAGATGGTGCTGAAGCTGGGCCGCTGTCCAGGCTCATAGGCCCAGCACTGCTCCATGAGCCTGAACACAGCATCAGGGCACAGGTCTGGGCAGGGCAAACGCCCCCCTGGGAGGACAGGCACAGCACACCAAGTATGAGGAGGGTGCCCCTGGGGTCAGACTGTTTAAGATACACTGTCCCCTGGGGCTGGAGAGATGGCTCAGAGGTTAAGAGCATTGACTGCTCTTGCAGGAGACCCAGGTTCGATTCCCAGTACCCACATGGCGGCTATGAGCCGTCCTTAACTCCTGTTCCAGGGGAATCTGAAGCCCTCTTCTGATCTCCGTGGCATTGCACAACATGGGTACACTTTGGGCCTGCATACACTCACATACATGCAGGCAATATACTCATACACATAAAATAAAAATAATAAAATATTTTAAAAAAGATACACTGCCACTAAAGAACAACTAATGTCTACAAAGGACTCCAAGACAGGGGCCTGGGTTCTAATCTCCAACCTACCATGTGCTGTGTGATATTTGCAAATCTCAGTTTTTTCATCTGTTCAAGAGGTCTATTAATCTCTTCTCTACATGTAATGAAGGGTAATAACACATGGCCCAGTGGAAACAGGTTCATCACCCATGGTAACTGCAGATTGTTCTTATTCTGCCCCAGGATCCAGTGGGAGGTATGGAGGAGGAAGCATCCAACTGGGATATGGAGTAGGGGCTTGTCCATGAGGCACCATCATGTGTGGGGTGGCCTTACCCTTTTCCACAAACTCCCGTGTCTGCTGATTGCTGAGGCTGGGATAGGGCGAGGCCCCCAAGCTGAAGGTCTCCCAGAGTAAGATGCCGAAGCTCCATACATCACTCTCTGAAGAATAGCGACCTGCAGAAGAGGCAAGGCAACATAAGGGAACTGCCCACACCCAGGGGCCCAGAGTCCACCCATGCCCAGCTCCCAGCCTTGCAGCCTAGGGTAGGTGAGGGTCAAGTACCATAGTTAAGGGCCTCAGGGGCAGTCCACTTCACAGGCACTTGTCTCAGGCCCCCTGAGGCTGCATAAACCCCATCAGCTTCTTCTCGGGACATCCCAAAGTCACTGATCTTCAGGACATTCTTCTCCGTCACCAGACAGTTCCTAGCAGCCAGGTCCCTGAGTGAAGCAGGCAGAGAAGTTAGTATCCTCCAGCCAATATCACCCTCCCAGCTGGGTCAAGCACTCCAGACAAAACAAAAGCTGCTTCTTGGGAATGAGGAGATGGCTCAATTGGCAAAGTGCCTACTCTGTAAACATGAGGATCTGAGTTCAGATCTCCAGCATCTACAGAAAAAGACACCCCAGCACTGGGATCAGAGACAGACGAATCCCTGGAGGTCATTGGTCAGCCTAGTCAATCCATGAGCTCCAGGTTCAGTGAGAGACCCTATTTAAAAAAATAAGGTGATTGTGGTGGTACATGCCTTTAATCCCAGCACTTGGGAGGCAGGTGGATCCCTGTGAGTTCAAGGCCAGCCTGGTCTACATAGTGAGTTCCAGGCCGGCTGGGAGCTGGGGCTACAGGGAGATCCTGTCTCAAAAAGACAATAAATAAATAAATAAATAAATAAATAAATAAAATAAAATAAAATAAAAAGGTGGTAGGGATAGAGAGATGGCTCAAGCAGTTAAGAGCCCTGGCTGGTTCAATTCCTAGCAACCATAGTGTGGCTAACACCTGTTTGTAACTCCAGTTCCAGGAGAATCTGATGCCCTCTTCTGACTTCTGCAAGCATTGCATGACATGAGCACACATATATTCAGGCAATACATTCATACACAAAATACAAATAATAAATAATATTTTTTTAAAAAGGTGGTGAATGCCAGGCTTGGTGGCGCACGCCTTTAATCCCAGCACTGGGGAGGCAGAGGCAGGCAGACCTCTGTGAGTTCAAGGCCAGCCTGGTCTACATAGTGAGTTCCAGGACAGCTGGGGCTACAGGGAGACCCTGTCTCAAAAAGACCAAAACAAACAAACAAACAAAAAACAAAATAAAACAAAAACCACACAACACATACAGTACTAGAGACCAATTCTGCCTGGGAAGCTAATGCCTTGTGGCCAGGGGGGCGCAGGTCAACAGCACCCTACTCTAATGGGGGTTGCTAGAACCTCCATCCCACTCACCGATGGATACAACATTTGCTCTCCAAGTACTCCATGCCTGAGGCAGCGTCACCCACCATCTGCAGCAGAGTCTTCACCCGAAGTCGGGCTCCCTCTGTCCGAAGGAAGGTCAGGAAGTCGCCCCCTAGAGATGAGGGCAGCCTTGAGTCATGGATTGGGGAGGTACCTGGCAAGCTAGGTCCACATCCTGAAGACCAGCATCTCTGCTCACCCAGCACCTCCACTCACCCAGCACCTTTACTAACCTTGTACCAGCTCCATGACGATGTAGATGGGTTGTTTCTGTGTGCAGACACCGATGAGACGCACAATGTTGGGGTGACTGTACTGCTTCAGGATCCTGTGGGGCACTGCTGCTTAGGCTATGAGTGGTCTGTGCTCACAACCCTCTACCCCTGTCACCTGCCCCCTGCCTCCTATGAGGAGCCCCAGAGAAGACAGAAGGCCACAGGAGAAAAGGGCTTGGCATTGGAGGCCAGCAGCACTGGATACGTGACCTCAGGTAGGGCTCTGGCCCCTTGTCACTGTGTATGCTACCTGAGTGTAAGGAGGCCTGGACAGTTAAATGATACCAAAGAAGTCAAGTACTTCATGTGCCAGGCCATGCACGAAGGAACCCATCCATATGTGTGGACTCTCCGATCATCTTTGTTTTATTACTTACCTTGCTTCTTGCAGAAACTTGGCCTTGAGGTCAGGTGGTAGCGTCTCTCGACAAGACTTCACAGCTACGGGGGTATTGTCCGCTCGTAGGCGCCCACTGAACACTTCACCAAAGTTCCCCTGAAATGGCCTTGGGCTCACACAAGTTGCTGGTACTGCAGTCCTTAAAAGGACAACCTATCTTGTCCCCAAACCCCTCATGCTGACTTGTCATTCTGGCTCTTTAGAAAATTTCCCCCTAGTGGGGACACAAAGAAGGATGGTTGTGGAAAGCTACCTATGACATGCCATATTATCTGAGAAGTGACACAGAAAAATCCAGAAATCATTTTACACTGGGCTGGAAAAATGTTCTAATTTTTAGGAAAGTAACAGGTATTTTGTAGCTTATGTTAACAGAGATGCTTGATAAGAACCCCTTGAAAGGGGTTGGGTGCTAGCTTCTGGGAGCCTAGGAGGGTTGGTATTCTCTGTTTTCTGGGCAAGGAGTCAGGATACAAGCTGAGAATCAAAGCAAGACAGGGAGATACTCCAGGACTATAGAGGCAAAATCTGAGGTGTAACTTGGTGAGGGGCTTAGAGGAAGCAAGTGCAGGGTAACAGGTAGAACCCTGGAGCCTCAGGGTGGGAGAGGTGAGCTTACCCGTCCAATCTGCTCACCCAACACCAGGTCCTCATGGTTTAGCACCCACTTGTCCTGGAAGAAGAGGTTAGGGATTCAGAAGTCAGCAAAGAGAAGGGGTGCTGGGCCCTGTGAAAAGCTGAACAGCTCTCCTGACACTGTCTGTCTTGGAGCCTCAGTGTGTTACTCTGGCTAATAGTGTTGTCCTCATAAGGACAACACTCAAGACGATTCAGAGACCAGCTTAATTACCAGCCTGGCAATATATGGTCTATGGATGGGAACAGGCTTGACATCCCAAACCCAAAAGGAAGCTGGCCACTTAGTGGGGTGGGGCTCATTTTATAGTCTGTATGTATAATGGGGAAGCATAGTGCTGACCTGTGGTCCTCAAGCACAACAAAGGCCAGGCTGGCTACAGGCTCACCTTGGGCACTGCCCTGTACAGAATAACACCACTCTTCTTAGTAAGGGGCTGCTGGGAGCACAGCAGGTGGTTGATGAGCAAGGGGATGCTGGGAAAGCCATCCCCTTCCAGCCGGTATAGGTTCTGTGGGGTAGAGGGGACTGAGGTCAGCAGCCTTGGATGCTGAGGAGGCCTGAGCTCTGGGAGAGGACAGGAAGAGCAGCAGAGGAGAAAGGGACTACCTAGTGAAGGCACTGGAGAGTGGTACATGGCACCCGTTACCTTTTTTCTTAGGACACAGGGATGTAGGTATTCTCTGTGGCTCCCTCCAAACTGGGTTAGAGAGGAGGCACCTAAGATGTAGCAGCTACTCCCTACTCCCTCAAGGTCATCCAGCTCTAGGTCATTTTTCTGAGAGAGAACAGGAAGCAAAGAGAGGGGCCCAGAAGGCTCAGGTTCCCAGCCCCACTCACATCCAAGTATTGGATGATGAAGTGCCGGGGCTGACCATCCCACAGCACTGACAGCACGTACTCCTGCTTGCCCTGGCTCTCCCGCACCAGAAAGTCCCCGGAGTGTGTCAGCAACTCAGCCACCTCCGCCCGTGGGATGGCCCCATGGTACCACAGCTGCTCATGCAAAGGCTTCTGCACCTCAGGAACGAGCTGCAGTGGTGGGGGGAGCTGCGAGGAATGTGCAGGGATCATTGAACTGGCGCACTGGTGGAAGACTGCTGGGCTAGTGTGGGGGTCTCCCTTTCCCTTATTCCCTCATCCTTACAGCTGTTCAAGTGACAGTAGAGCCATCTGCAGCCTTGGAGCTGGCAGTGGCCTGACACAAGTTCACTCTGGACAAAACCGGGATGGGAAGTCTAGGCTGGCAGATCTCAACCAAGCTAGTATCTTTCCTCTGAGCCATAGACTTTCCCACCCCTCCCAAAGCAGGCAGTCATGGGGTAGCCAAAGTTGCAGGAGGGTACACTGGGTAGGCAGGGCTTGGAGGCATCTGTAGCCTGGAATCCCAGGGAAGAGAAGGACACCCCCAATGCAAACAGCCTGGGTGGGGCCTCCTCTCTAGGGCACCCCTGTATAATCAACCCAAAACATCAAGGCAGGAAGTCTGGGGATCATATTTGAGACCCATGGCCTGGCCTACCTAGATGGGTAGAGGTAGAAGCTCAGCCTGGGCACCACTCACAGAGAACTTGGGGCGGAAGATTCCAGAGAAGTGGCTCTTAAGGATCTCCAACGTAGGTGTCCTTCCCCCCTCTCGCTCCTGCTCCTGAGGCCAGGGACAGACGTCAGCGGGTGGCCAGGCTTGGGGAGGGGGAGGGCAAAAATGAGGAGCACAGCCCCTGCGGGCAAGCATGGCTGGCAAATGAGGGCAAGGTGGGAGCAGGGTGTCTCACCACAGAGGAGGTAGAGTGACGGTCATCCTGCAGGAGTGACACAGCTGGGGGTTCGCTAGAGCCCAGCTGCTCCAGCTTGCTCTGCAGCAGTTCCTGCTGGGCCTGTAGTTTGTCCTGACTGCACAGTGCTACCTGAAGCCCCTGTATGGCCTCTTGCAGCATCTGCTTCTTGCTTAGAAGCTGTATCCTGCAGGCAGGAGCAGGACAAAGGGAGGGCAGAGAGACACTCAGTCTGTAGCTTGCATGCACAATAGAGGGGGACCAGGAGGCTACGGCAGGTGGGGCCTGCTCACCGGTCCCGGGGGTGTGTGTTCTGCTCCTCATGCTGGAGCTCACGTTGCAGCTCACTAACCACCTCCCGCCGACTTAGCACCACCTTGGTGGCCACAGCCAGCTCATCTGTCACAGAGGTCAGCCTACATCCAAAGGCAGAATAGTGAAAGCTGTGCCCCACCCCATGAGCACCCCTGTAGAGCCAAGCAAGCCTGGCTGCCTAGCTGACATCCACATCCACACACATAGTCTGCTGGGAGCCCGCCCTGGCCCAGGTACTGAACCACCACACACGTGTGTTGCACACTCTCCAAAGTCAGCTCGTTTAGCTGCAGTTCCCCAGGTTCTAGCTGTTCACCCTCTTCAAGAAGTGACTCGTCAAAGGTGATGCAAGGTGGGACATCAGGGGCAGATCTGTGGGTGGATAGGATGCCCTTCAGTGAATAGGCCGGGAGTTCTGGAGCCCAGGAGGTACAAGGACAAGGACTGGCTTACCCATGCTGTCTCAGAAAGCCTAGGTACTCCAGCTCGGGCTGGATACGGGCAGCAGCTGCCGCCAACTCCTGGTGAATGACCACCACATCGTCCTGCACCAGACTGCTGATCTCCAAGTACTCCTGCAGGATATCCTTCCTGTCTCCCACCCATAGAAACCTGAGTCAGAGGACCTCACTCTGGGTAAGAAGGGCAACTCAGCTTAGGACACTGGGTTCAGGGGAAATAGTAGCCTGACACTAGCATGATCTTAGGCAAATCATTTAAACCTTCCCTGACCTACTCCCTGACAGGATTATAGGCACACGGTAGAAACAAGGACCCAGTAAGATCCTGTGGGAAGTGCCTGGTACATAGGAAGTACTGAGTAACTGGCCCCCAATAAATGTATTAAGCCGTTGATATGCTGCTGACTGCCAAGTCTGTATCTCCCAGGCCTAGCATCTCTGGAAAGCTCCAGTCTCTTTACTTACTACTGGTTAGAATGGGGTGGGGCTGCAGGCTTACAGGATGAGCACCATCTCCTCGTGCAAGTCCTGCAGTGACTGCAGCAGGCCGGGCAGCATGAGTTGGTGGTAGTGCTGGTGGTGTAGCTGCGCAGCCCTCACACCCAGTACATAGCGGTTGTGGTGGGCAAAGAGCTTCCACAGGCTGCGCACGTACTTGTCCTTGGCTTTGTCTCGGTCCTTGTCTGCCAGGCAGAAGGTGAGAGGGGTGTGTGTGTGTGTCTGTGTGTCTGTGTGTGTGTGGGAGAGAGAGAGAGAGAGAGAGAGAGAGAGAGAGAGAGAGAGAGATCCCAGAGTCCTAGGCAGCCCCTGTTCCCTGGGCACCGGCGGACAGGTCTACCGGTTTGGGTTCTCTACCCAACAGTGAAGAAAGCTCCAAACCTTTGCTGGCCTCCTGGTACTTGCGCCTCGCCTGGGCACTGTCCCGTACCAGGGACCGGTACTGGTTCTTCAGCTTTTCAATGTCCTGGCTGTGGATCTGGGGAGGAAAGGATGGCCAGTGTGAGGTGGCAGTTACTTAAGCATGGGAGATTTCCCATCTGAGCTCTGGAAAGTTTCTGCCATTCAGGTTAGCAGGATGTCCAAGTTCATCTTCTGGAAGAGTCTGGAGACTTCTGGGGAAGCTGACTGTTAAGGCTAGGGTCAAAGGAGCTGAGTTATAGACAGGCTGCTAAAGGAGGCAGAAAGGAGGCTGAAGCAGGCCACAACTGTTCCTCCTGGTGGCAGGTAGAGTCAGCTTCAGGTGTGTGTATTCACACAGACTCCACACACAAAAGCACCTTGGGCTTGGTTTCATACTGTGTTGTTATTGTATTGAAATTCATTATTTCTGATTTGAGGAGGCAGGGTCTCACTCCAGCCTAGGCTTACCTCAAACTCATTCTGTAGCCCAGGTTGGCCTTGAACTTGTGCTAATACTGTCTCTGCTGTGCTGAGATCACAGGCCTGAGCTAGTATATGCAACTTCATATTGAATTGGTATTATTTTAAAAATTTATTTCATTTTATTTGTGCATACCGCATGCCCATGGAAGCCAGAAAGGGGTGTTGGATCACTTGAAGCTAGAGGTATAGATGTTTGTGAGCCACCATGTACATGCTGGGATCTGAGTAGTAAGCATTCTTTTTTTAATTTTAATTTTATGTGTACGAATGAAAAGCCTGTATGTAGGTAGGTGCACCCATTTTATCCATTACCTGTGGAGGTTGGAAGATGGTGTCAGATCCCTTGGAACTAGAATTATGAGTTATGCATGGTTATTAGCTGCCATGTGGGTGCTAGGAATTAAACCTCTGCAAGAGCAGCCAGTGCTCTTAACCTCTGAGCCATCCTCCAGCCCCAGGGTAGTAAGCATTTTTTAACTCCTAAACCATCTTTCCAGCCCCTATTTTTAAAAGTTTTAAATAATTTTTTTTTTGTCTTTTTGAGACAGGGTCTCCCTGTACCTCCAGCTGTCCTGGAACTCACTATGTAGACCAGGCTGGCCTTGAACTCACACAGATCCTCCCCAGTGCTGGGATTAAAGGCGTGTGCCAAGACACCTGGCTTAATTAATTTTTTTTGAGACAAGGTTTCACTATGTAGCCCCAGCTGGCCTGGAATCCTCTATGCAGATCAGGATGGTCTCAAACTCACAGAGATCTGCCTGCCTCTGCCTCCTGAGTAAAGGCATGTACTACCACCTCCAGCCTTTTGAAAAAAATTATTTATTTATTTGTGTACTTGCATGTTCAAGCAGATGTGTGCATGCTACAGTGCACATGCAGCAGTCAGAGGACAATTGCAGGAGTTAGTTCTCTATTTCTACCATGTGGGATCTAGAGCTTGAACTCAGGCTGTCAGGCTTGGCAGCAAGTGTCTTTACATGCTGAGCCATCTCATGGGTCCTTGAATTTTCTTTTATTTTTTTAAGAAGTTTCCTGCTATCTACCCCAGGTTGGCCTAAAACTTGCAATCATCCTGCTTCTGTTTTCTGTTTCCTGAGTGCAAGGTTTACAGATGTGTGCCACCACAGCTGGCTTTTGAAATTCTTAACTTCCACAATTTTTTTGCATGCTATGCTCTTGGTAATAGAAACACTAGGTGGCAAGCCAAGACCAGAGTTCTCACCCCAGGTCCCCTGCCTCAGCGCTGGGACACAGTAAGCAGGCTCCATTTTGCTTCTTTGAATATCAGTTTCTCCATCTATAACTGATTACATGCATAGACTTAACCAGTCTTAAAGGACCAACTAGTAAATATTTCAGGATTGTAGGCTATAGGTTATCTGTGGCAATTACTTCATCCTGTCATTGAAATGATATTAGGACAAATGTGTTTCAATAAAATTTACCTATACAACTAGGCAGACCCTTGAAATAGAGTGGAATTAGTACTGTTTCGGGAAAAGTGAGGCAGATATGACCACCAGGGAGCACTATGGGTCCATGGTAAGACCCGGCAGAGGTGGAAGGGGTGTGGCGCCAGGAGGCTGACCAGCACAGTGAAGGATCAGCAGCTGCAGATAACCCAGTCCGTAACTGAAGAGCTGCCGGAATTTGGAGGTAGGCAGGTTCTCTGCCTCTGGGGCCTTCAGAGGAGCTGCTCTAGCCAAAGCAGATTTGGCCATTCCTCTCAGTCTCACCCGGGCGGGCGGTGCTGGACGCCACATACTGACTTGAGCTCCTCTTGAGACAATTCCTGGCCTCACCCATCCTGACCTCTCAGCACTTAGCTCAGGCACAATGTGCAGACAGGCCCTGCAGCTGGCCAGCCCAAGTGGGGAGAGGAAGGGAGGAAGCTGCAGCCGGGCCCATCAAGCCATCCTGGGGCCAGGCCTGCTGTCAGTGACTTCCACTTCCCCAAAGAACTTAGGCACTCTTGTGCAAAACTGCCCCTTTTAAAAAAAGGCTCCACATTGTGACAGTCCCCTTGGTGCACACCTACCTTGGTAAGGTCCTGCTGCAGCTGCTGCCACTGCTCATTGTAAGTCTTTCGCAGGTGCTGCCGCTCTCGGATCAGTATACTCAGCTTGCTCAGAGGCCCTGAGTTCAGATCTTCTGCATGTTGCCGCAGCACTCGGCTCAGCATCTCAGTCTGGCTGGTTATCTCAGCCCAGGACTATGGCACATGGCAGGATGGGGAGGCAGTGGGGATAGGACAATGGTTCCCAAGGCTGGACCTGCTACATCTCCAACCCCACCCCCAAGAGCTTTGGGAGAAGATGAGAGTAAGTGGGGTCCCATAGACACACACCTGGCTGACATGGCTGTCAGGGCCACTGCTCCAGCTCTGGCCTCCACTGTCTTGCAGCATGTGGTGAAGTAAACCTGCATATTCCCGGTCACTCTTGACCCTCTGGGTCATCCACTTCCTCATGCCCTCCAGTAAGCGAAGCTCAGCCTCCTGCATCTGCTGCACTGCCCCGTGGCCCCGGGGGCTACAAAGCTCTGAAGAGAAGCCCATAGTGGTGTCCTAGAGACAGAGACTAGGCCATCAGTGGGGGCAAAGCAGCAGTTGGAGATGGAGGGGCAGGGTAAAAAGCCTAAGAGTTGTAGGGTCAAGGAAGAGGTACCGGCAGGACACAAATGAGGTTCTGCCCAACAGAAAGAGCAGCCAGACCTGGGGCTGGCCCTCAGTGCTTGCTGTGCCCAGGCCAGGTCCCAGCATCAGTGGTCCCCTTTCCAGAACTGGATCAGGAACCAGCCTAGAGACCCCTACTAGGGTCCTTTCACCCGCACTATTCCTAGATGTTACTGGGTCCTGCACCAGAACTCTCAACAATGCTAAACTTGCTGGGCTGCAGCCTCAGGGAGCCACAGCAGGAGCACTGCACTGGGCTGTCTGCTCTTCCCAAGCCCCTAGCCCCACCCTGTCAGGTTTCAGGCTTCCTGGACTCCTGCCTGGCTCCAATCCGGTGCCCACCCACTGTCACCCCCTGCCCATGGCCCACATAACCTTCTGGACCTGAAGGGTGAAATTACCTTTCGAGAGCAGCAGCTCCTGGGGAACCCGACTCAATTCCTGCACCGGCAGTTCCTGATTTCTAGCTTCCTCCTCAGGCCTTGGGGCGGGGCGCTGGGGGGAAGGGGCGGCGGGCGGGAGTGGCCCCCCTAGTCTGCTCTGAATGCCCAGGGTCACAGCCTACATCAGGCCACGGAAACGGAAGGGAGGAGGAGGCCTGGGAAAGAATGGTCATGCAAAGTGGCCTGTAAGCCAGGCACTCCCCAGAGCCCTGAAACGTCCTGGGAAGGGGCCCAAAGGAGTGGAGGTGGCTCAAGGCAAGGTCCAAAGCAAAGTGCTGGGCCCAGGGAAGCCCAGGGTGTGCAAAGTCTGGGGACAAGGGTGAGTCTTGGTCGCAGTTAGGGTGGAAGGGAGGCTCAGTAGAGGAAGGTGGAAGCCTCCCCACCCCACTGGATTCCCTAAGGAGAGCTCAGGCGCTAGTCTCGATTTGAATATTATAAAATTTCCAAATAAATATCTTAAGGGGGGAGGCCTGTTTCTCAGACACAGGTGCCAGTAGCACCATCTTATCCTTGTACCCCAGGCAGGGCTTTTGGTTTCAGTGGAAGCCTGGGGTCACCAAGGGACAGGATTGATGAATAGAGAGCCATGCAATGCATTTTCCCAAGTGGGACTCAGGCTCCCCCAAGTATGCCATCTTGCCTCAGTGAGGCTCTTCTTAGACCTAAGTTTGCTGGTGGCTAGGCCATTTCACTTGTCCTACCCTCTAGGGCTTAACTCAGCTACTGAGTTGTTGCATAGGGAACTGGTACATGGGCTCAAAGCAGGAGGTCATAGAGCCCCTTGGAGACACTCAGGCCTTTTGACTTGCAGGCAGTCAAGACACCACTAAGCCAAACTGGTCCCTAGTTCCTACCCCTTTCTCCAGCTGGATGAAGTACAGGGTCCCAGGAAGAACAATGTCACCACACTGGAGACCAGGTTTGGTTTGCATAGTCTGCACGTTTAATCACTTTAAAACCTCTAACATTATCTCGTGTCCATTAAATAGAACCAACAATGCTGGGCCTGTTTAAATTACAAGGAAAAAAAAAAAAAAAATCACTGTGCACCAACCCAGTATCTTACAAAACCAGCCTGGATGGCCACGAGGGAGTGCACAGGAGAGGAGGGGGCACCCTTGGACAGGTGGCTGGGTACCAGGAAGGGGCAGGGAAAAGGAGGCTCCCAAGTGGGAGGGGACTGATTGTCCTAATAGGAGGGGTGCAGAAGGCACATCAGAAGATGGGGTTTGGGGGGCATCATAGGTCAGTGCTTTCTCCACCAGGGCACAGTGTTTAGAAGGGGCCTAGGGCCCCCACCTGCCCACTCCTGGCACTTGGAGAACCAGTGACCTATAAGCCCTTGGCACAAGCCCCATTTGAAACACAGATGTCAGCCTACCCCTCCCACCGTGACCCCCTTTCCTAGAGCCCATCTGGCTGGCCTGCCTCTTTAGGACTTGGGGCTCAGTTATTCCCTACTTCTCAGTAACATGCTGCAGCCCCCTACACCTCAGGGCTGGGCAGCCAGGGGAAAAGCAGGGTGGGCATGGGTATAAGGAGGTGGATGGTCCAGCTGCTACCCCCATTAAAAATACAAAAAAAAAAAATCATCTAAAGTGAAATAATCACAAAGTGAAAATATATCCTCAAACAGCTCCTGAGATCCCCACAGGGGAAAGCAGCATCGGGTGGGAGGCGGGAGAAGCCGGCTGGGCCACCGTCCCTTCCCACCACCCACCCAGGGGCTCTGGGACTGTGAGTGCCAACAGCCCAGGCAGCCCCGGGCTCAGAAAACAGGGCCCTAGGCCCTGGCAGGAGGGGAGGGTGCCATAGAGAGGACAGTCAGGACACCAGCATAAACCTCCCTCATCCCCCAGAGCTTTAATCTGGCCTGTGCCAGCCTAGCTCAGCCTGGCCACCAGCTGAGGCCTCAAGTGCAGAGGCAGGCTGGGGGCATACACACATAAGCACACTGGGAAGTGCCTGCCTTGCCTTGGTCCCTTCCTATGACTGCAGCTTCTGTTGAGGCTTATCTGGGTATGGGACTGGGTCAGGAATGCAAAAGCCCTTGGAGAGGTGGCTTCTTCCCTCAGTACCTCTTAGCCAGCCTCCCTGCTGCCTGGATGGGGACCATTATTGCTTTTTGAGGGGCAAGGAAGGGGCAAGGCTGCAGCCTGGGTCAAGAACTCTGAGAAAGGCTTGCCCCTCTTCACTCCGCAGGAACTCCAGCTGGGGCCTGGGCTTTGCAAAGCTGCCCTAAGGTTTCATTCCCTTCTCCACATGAAGGAACTCTGGGAGTGAGGCTCTCCTCCTCCCCAGCTGATCCTGGGTCCCCACCTCAGGCAAACAGGTAGGCCCAAGGGTAGGGTAGGAAGCAGTCTCTGCCCTCTTGCCTCCCAGCTAGGGTCCAAACCCAGTCCCAAGATAAAAAAATACTTTGGTGAATTAAAAAGTGCCCAAGGAGGGGATCAGCTTGAGGGGCGGGCAGTGGGCTAGTCAAAGGGCACTCTGGTCTTTGATAAAGGCAGTCCTCTCGCCCCGGCCCTCATCCTCTTCTGAGTCAGATAGGCACTCCTCCTGCCAGGCTTCGGGAGGCAGCCCCTTGTAGGAAATGAGGCCACGGTCCATGGTGTACACTTTCACTCCCCGGAAGCTGAAGCCGGAGCGCAGCTGCAGGACTAGGAAGACAGTGACGAAGACCAGCACAATGAAAGCGCAGCTGAGGCCGGCCACCACTTCTGGCAGGTGTGAGGGCAGCAGCCCAGCCTGCAGCCGGGGCTCCACTTCCACCTCTGGAGGCAGTGCAGGCGGCTGCTGCTGAGGTGGGGACTCTCGACTGCTCTGGCTTTGTCTGGAGCATGTTTGCTCCACAGGGTCCAAGGAGGCATGGCTGGGGCAGCTGAGGCAGTCTGTGGAGGCTGGACCCTTGCAGGTGGCACACGAGGTGTGACAGGGGGCGCAGACACTGGCACGGATGGTCTCCACATCATTCTCAGTGCTGTAGTGTGTATCGAGGACCTGGGGTGTGAAGCCTGGTGGGCAGTGCTGGACACAGCTTTTCTGATGCAGGGAGAAGCCTTCCTCGCACACTGCCAGCACAGGATAGGAAGTAGGTATCAGCCAAGTGGACTGTGGTAGCCTCTAAGCCATATAGCCCTTTACCCCAGGTCCATGGTGGCCCCTACAGACCTGTACTCCCAAGCATAGTTGCCCCAATCCCTAGGAGCCCTTTTTTCTCCTGGGCTGAGGCTAGGCACCTCACTGCCCCCTACCCAACCTCTGCTCCTCCAGCCCCAATAGCATCCACTACTGACCCACGCAGGCCTGGCTAGATGTGAGGGTCTTGCAGCCGCTGCTCTCAGGAGGTGTGGAGAGCCCCTCAGAGGCTGTACCATAGAGTACAAGAGTGAATTTGGTCAGCGTCCCTATTCCAGAGTTGGGAAAGAAGAGTTACAGGACATGGATACCATGCCAACATCCCAAATCCTACCAGTTCTCCTGCTCACTCTCCACCCCTTAAGTGCCCCCATACCATAGTTGTTGGCTTCGCTGGTGTTTTCAATCTCTAGGACCCACTCGCCAGAGGGATCTTCATCCCAGGAATGGGTTGTCATGAAAGCCCAGTCATTGAACCCATCTGCAGAGTAGTCATGTGGCCTGGAGGGAAAAAGAGTTCCATATAGCCATATAAGTCCTTGGAGCACCTAGCTCATGACACAAGACACACCATTCTCCCCACGTGGCAACCTGCAGGACTGGAAATGCCTATTGGCAAGGCTGTTTCCCAATGGGCCAGATGTTCTCAACTAAGGGAACTCTACTTCACAAGGAACACACAGCTGGTATGATAAAATGATTTGGAGGTAGTCCCACAGGACATAGCTGGCTTTCCCCAAACTGTGACAGTGCCCCCACTGAATGGCACTAATCACTGCTAGAGGCTTGGGGATGAAGGAATGAATTGGGCCATGAGTGGGCAGGGAACAGGGAGAGCACCTGGCAGCCAACAGGGTGGAGCGGGTGCCCATGGGACTGACGAGGTGGATAGCCAGGTCACCACGGCGGTTGTAGGACAGGGTGAGTCGTGCTTGAGCATGCTCCAGCCGGGTGACATGGTTGGGCTCGCCTAGGCATGCGGTCACAGTCTTGCGCACCTCTAGCCGTTTGCCAATGTCCCTGTGTAGAAAGCACCATGGTGATGTGTCAGCCTGGCCAGTGTGACCAGCAGGCACCCCAGCAGCTCTTATGCCCCATTTTCTCCCTCCTAGTTGGGGGTCTAATCCTCACTTGGGCTCCGTGAGGATTTCGATGATGCACTTCCGCTGAGGGGCCACTGTTGTCCAGTTCTGAGCCAGGGCCACCATGGCACCTGCATCCAACAGCCCATAACCATACGAATGGCTCACTGTGAGGCAGGGAAGGAAAGGTTAGTAGGGAGGCAAGAGTGGCCCCCAACCTACCTTGGAGTCTTGACCACAGGGTCGGTCACTTTGCCCTCACCTTTTCGGCCCACACCATTAGTGGCCCAGTCATTGGCATTGAGGTGGGCTGGCTTTGAGGTCTGTACCACCAAGTGCTGCATGTCCCGCCAGGTAAGGTTCTTACTGCAAAGGAGGAAGGAAGAGGTCCAGCTCAGTCTTTCTGGAGAGTAGCTGGTAATTAACAGCTGCCTTACAGACAGCATTGGGGTGGGGATGTTGCTTGCCCACTTACTTGGCCTCCAAGGTGAGAGCAATGATGCCAGCTGCCAAGGGGGCAGAAGCTGAGGTGCCTGTGTGAGACTCTGTGCACTTCTGCCTCAAGTCAGTGGTCACCTGTCAGGCAACAATGGTGTTGATGATGGGGCAGGAGGTGAAAGGGGAAGGGAAGAGAGCTTAAAGGGGCCACCTGCCTGTCCTCCTTCTGCTGATAGGTCCTGGGTACCCCAAATGGCATGGTGAATCAAGAGTCAGAACACTTGGGTCCCAGTTTTTTTGCCTTGCTAACTTGCTGTGGATAGGCCAGTGCATGGCCCCTTCTAGAGTCAAGTTTCCCAAGGAATAAGGGGGTTCATCTAGAGGTTGGAAAGCAAGGCATGCTTTCAAGGGAGAGTCTACACTTCTCAAGGGCTTCAGCGATGTCTTCACAGCCCTCAAGAGTACAGGAGGATGCCCCCAGCTCACATTCCAAAAGGTCTAAGCCACTCTCAGAAGTCACAAGGGGCGAGAGCAGATGGGATATGAGGGGTCTGAGCAGAACCAGCACCCAGCCCTGGGCAAGACTCACAATCTGCTTCTCATTCTGGTTGCCACTGCTGTAGGTGGTGGCCAGTGTGGATGAGCAGGCCTCACTGTACCAGGGCACGTTGCCGAACTGTGTGGCACTGCTGATGGACAACGTGTAGATGCTGTTTGTGTAGCCGTCACAGTTGCAACTGTCATGTTCCCGGCCCCCATTCCCGGAAGCCCAGACAAAGATGGAGCCTAGCCCTCCACGACCCTGTGAACAAAGTGGGTTGGGGGTCAATGAAGATAGGAAGGAAGCACAACAGGAAGATGTTATTGCAGACTAAGAAGACTGGGAAGACTGGAGCCTCCATCTCTGGAGACTCCATGTTAATTTCTTGGATCCCCTGAGATATCCCTGGTAGAGCAGTATGCATGCAAAACTTAGGTCTGTGCACAAAATCAAATCTGACTGGGCTCATCTCCAAAATGCTTAGAATGGTGATCCCCAGAGAGTGGGGTTGGGTAGCTTTTGTTTACCTTTTTCTGTCTCTTAAACTTTTAAAAAAGTTATTATTTGGAGAGGTGCCATGGCACATGTGTGGAGGTCAGAGAACAACTTTGCGGAGTAGGTCCTCTCCTTCCACATGAGTTTTACATGAGTTTCAGGGATTGAACTCAGGTCATTAGGCTTGTTTGACAAGTGCTTTATCTGCTAAGCTATCTCACTGACCCCAGCCACTTAATTTGTTTATTACTTTTTGGTGGTGCTGAAATCAAACCCATGGCCTTAGGCCACAGATATGCCTGGCATATGTGATACCTAGGTTCAATCTAACACTGCGAACCTTTTCCCCCAATTAAAAAAAACACACTCAGGGCTTCATAAAAAGCATGCCCATTACCTCTGAGTTTCATCCCTAGTCCCCCACTCCTTAATTTTTAAATAACATTTTATATATATATTTTTTTAATTTCATTTATTATTTTTATGTATATACGTGTATTGCCTGCATGTAAGTACACCTGTGTCATGCAATGCCCGTAGAGGTCAGAGGAGGCTGTCAGCTCCCCTGGGACTGGAGTTACAGACCGTTGTTAGCTGCCATGTGGGAGCTGGGATTTGAACCTGGGTCTTCTGCAAGAACAACCAGTGTTCTTAACTGCTGAGCTATCTCTCCAGCCCCCTATTTTTTGTTTGTTTGTTTATTATGTGTACGAGTACTGCCTGCATGTATACAAGTGCACTCGGGTTGTGCAGTGCCCATAGAGGTCAGAAGAGGGCATCGGATCCCCTGAAATTGGAATTAGGATGGTTGTTAACTGCCCTGTGGATGCTGGAGATCAAACTTAGGTCCTCTGCAAGTGTAACCAGTGCTCTTAATTGTTGAGCCATCTCTCCAGCCCTAATTTTATGTTTTAAGTGTATGAGTATTTTGCCTGCATGTATGCACGTGCACCATGTGTGTGCCTGGTACGCATGGAGGCTAGAAGAGGGCTTCAGATCACTTGGAACTAGTGTTACAGACAGTTGTGAGCTGTGAAATGGGTGCTAGGAACCAAAACCAGATCCTCTGCAAGAGCAACAAGTGCTCTTTAGCACTAAGTCATTTCTCCAGCTCCCGTAACATTTAATTTTAATCTTAACACTTTGTCTAAGATTAAAATTAAAACACAAGAGCAAGGCATGGTGGTGGTATATACCTGTAATCCTCAGGAGGCTGAAGCAGGAGAATGAGTTCGAGGCCAGCCTATGTTACATGGCAAGTACCAGGACAGCCTAAGCTACATAGGAAGACCTTATCTCAAAAACAGCTGGAGAGAGGGCTCAGCAGTTAGAGAGTACACACTGCTCTTCCAGAGGACCCAAGTTCAGTTCCCAGCTCACAATGCCTATAGCTCCAGCTCATGGAAGATCTGATGCCTTTGGCTCCCGCAGGCATCTGCACTTAACAGGCACATACCCACAAGACACACACATATACAGATAATTTAAAATACATTTAAAAATTCAAAAACAAAAGGCAGCTGGGCAGGCGTGGTGGTGCACGCCTTTAATCCCAGCACTCAGTAGCTAGAGGCAGGTGCGAACTCTGTGAGTTTGAGGCCAGCCTGGTCTACAGAGTGAGTTCCAGGCCAGTTGGGACTACAGGGAGACCGTGTCTCAAACAGATCAAAAAAATAAATAAATAAATAAATAAAATAAAAACGGAGCTAGAGAAATGGCCCAGCAGTTAAGAGTAAAGGCTGTTCTAAAAGAAGTCCCAGGCTCTGTTCCCAGCAACCACATGCTGGCTCACAACTGTCCATAACTCCAGTTCCAGGGAATCTGACTAGAACTGGTGCCTTCTTCTGGCCTCTGCAGGCATTGCACTTACATATAATATGCAGGCAAAACACACATACACACAAACCAAAAACATTTTTTTAAAAAATTAAAAACAGGGCTGGAGAGATGGCCCAGCAGTTGAGAACAATGGCTGTTCTCACACAGGACCCGGGTTCAAATCCCAGCACCCACATGGCAGCTAACAAACTGTTCATAACTTCAGTTCCAGGGGATCCAACAGCCTCTTATGTCCTCCTGGGGCACTGCATGACATGGGTGCACTTACCTACATGTAGGCAATACACCGCATACACATAAAATAAATAAAATATTTGAAAACTCTTTTAAAAAAATTAAAAACAAGTAAACAAACAAGAATAATAGAAAACAAGGAAGAGAGTAGTGGAAAAGACAGCACCCGGACAACCTGAGTTCTAGGGCTGTCCCAGAACTCCCACCTCACCTGGCTAACTCCCCGAAAGAACGCCTCCTCAGCAAGGCGGGCTGGCCCATCCACAGTCTTGCCATCATCCTCAGGGCCCCAGCTGGCACTGTAGATGTGGATGTGGTTGGGATTCAGGCCCAGCGAACGTGCTTCCACTGCATCAGTCACCTCGCCATCCAACATGCGCACCCCTGGCCACAGATGGGGGTGGGAAGAAGGATGCTGCGTGGGTCCAGCTGCTGGGGCACCCTTGGGCACAGGCCCAGCCTGTACCCTAAGGCAGGGCAAGGGAGAGGAAAGGCTAGTGCTGGGAAACCCTGAGCCCCTATCTATTGTCTGTCATTGCCTTCAAGGACAAGACCCAAAGAAGAGGAAAGAGGACATCATGCATTCTGGACTAGAAAGAGTCTTGGGTCTCAGAGGAACAAGGTGATCAAGGCCTGTGCTATGATAATTTTGGGAGATTTCTGCTATGAGGCCTCTACCCACTCTACCCCACTCCAGCACTAGGATTCCAGCTCTTCGAGTTGCTAAGAATCCCCAATAGAGTATCGATGCTGTCAAAAGGATTCACAGTGGGAAGGTGGCAGGCAACATCCAGATGGGAAGCAGGCAGAGAAAACTCCAGAGGGAGGGGAGGGGACCTCCCACCTTCAAGGTGAACCAGAGGAGCCAAGGCTCATACTCACCTCCAATGCGGGCATTGTAGGCCACACCCACGCCACAGACACCATTGTTGGCCACCGCAGCCACTTCACCTGCACACCGTGTGCCATGCCTATCAGGGTAAAGAGCACAGCATTACTAAAGTGTCACAGATGCAGTTTGAAGAGTGGGAACAATCAGGAGGGCCCTCAGCCCACATCTACCAACACATTTGTTTACACACCACTGCCCTATGGGGGTCTGTGGCCCTCTCTGCTCTAACCAAAAGACTTCAGCTTTCAGGTATGACATGTAGTACTCAGGCTCAGTCTTGTGTCCTTAGTGGATGCTCAGGCCAGGGACCTAATGTTTCTCACCTATTGTCATTCATCTGTGTATACCGAGGCTGTGGGTCAGGGTCCTGGTCGTTGACATCAAAACTTGCCCCAGGATCCTGGAAAAAACAGCCATCACCTAACCACAGCCATCACCTAAACATAGCCATCACCTAACCATCAGCCTAACCACACTGGTGTAACAGGCCAGTCCCTGGAAGCCCCTCACAAAGGATCACCACCTCCCTCCTCCATTCCTCACATAATTGCCTGCCAAGTCAGGGTGGTTCTTCTCAATGCCGTCGTCCAGGATGGAGACCACAATGCCGTGCCCTGTGAAGCCCTGGGCCCAGGCTTCCTTCACATTCAGGTCTCGCTGAGTGATGCCAGACTAGAGACAACCAACCAGAGGTATTTGGTTGTAGGAGGCTAGGGCTAACTCAGAAAACCCAATCTCACCACAAAACCTCTTTCTCTACCCATCCCAGCTCTTAAAAGTGCCACCACTGGCCTCCATGGAAAATGTAAAGTATTTTGGGAGGACAACCCCAAGTTTTGCAGGATTGGCTGGAGGCAGACAGGAGAAAGCCTTAAAAGTCAGTCTCATGCACTCACAGGACCTTACAGTGGTGGATGGGTGCTGCTGGGGAGGAGGACCCAGGGTCCAAGGAGGCAGCCTACCAGGTACCACTGCTGGGGGAACTTGGGATCTGAGGGCTCCTGGTACACGTCCCGCTTGGTTCGTCGCTTTGCCACCTGCTGCTCCAGCCACTTTACCTAGGAAGGAGGGAGGGTGAGAGAAAGATGGTGTGGGGATCAGGCTTGGAGGGCCGAGCAAGGGGGCTCCTTGGAGCAGGAAGAGGAGGATAGCAGCAGGAACGGCTGGGCCCCACTCACTTGGGGCTCCCTCTGCAGCCGGCTGTGTCGAAGGCGGTGAGGCGACAGGGACCGCTTTGTCACTGCTCGATGCCAGAAGTGGTAATAGTCGCCGAAGATCTGCAATAAAGAAGGGAGCCAGAGATGGGCTTTCCATCTGTCAGTCCCTGGAGGAGGCAAGGATGGGGGTGGACAAGGCTGCCAGGGAGGCTCACAAAGGCTGGGAGGGGGGTGGGGTCTACTACCTGCTTAGGACCCACAAGAACATGCAAGGGACAGAGAAGGACTCACCCTCACTGGAATGTATTGGTTATCTAAGCAATCTCTGATAAGACAAGCCCCTGCTCCCCTCCCACTGGCCACCCAGAACCTACCCCTTGCCCAGATACTTGGGACAAGCTCACCAATTTCTACTTCCTGGTGCAAGAACTCTGCCCTTACACTCCCCACAATGGATAATGTTCTGGAGCTAGGCCACCAGGCCAGTTAAGAAACCTACCTGACCCAGGTTGTGGAACCCATGCTTTTGTGCCACATTGTCAGCCACAGCTGGGCCTCCAGGGACGTGCACAGCCCACGTGTTGGTAAAGACCTTTTCACCACAGGCATCAGCTGCCAGCAGGACCAAGGCTCCTGCTGCTGCTAACACCCATAGCAACCAGGGCCTCAGCTCCATGGGGGGGCAGATGGCGGGGACCCCGGAGCTCCCGTCTCCCTGGCCTGGTCACAGGGCCTTGGCTCCCACGTGCCTGCTCACTGCCCGGAGCCCGGAGCTGACTGGCGGGGGCATGGGGCCGAGATGGGCAGGGCTGGAGGACAGGATGAGGGCTGCCAGCTCTGAGAAGATCAAAAGAGAAAAAAGAGGAGTCAGCTCCTTCTCAGTCATGCACTAATACTCCTCCTTTCCATTCCCAAGGCTTAGTTAGGACCTAAAAGGAGTTCCCGCAGAGATGGGTAAAACAAACACAACACCTGAGTCCATACAGTGACTGCTGCCAGAGCATGGGGACCTGAATTTGGATCCCCTGCACCCACAGTAAAAAGCTGTGCTTGGGAGCATGTGCTTGTAATCCCAGAAATGAAGGGCAGGGACAGACAGAGAAGAATCCCTGGGGTTCACTGGCTAACCAACATATCAAATCAGCAAGCTCCAGGTTCAAGAAGAGACCTGGTCTCAAAACAATATGGTGGCCTGCTGTGGTGGCACACACCTTTAATCCCAGCATTCAGGAGGCAGAGACAAGCAGATTTCTGTGAGATTAAGGTCAGTCTGCTCTGTGTAGTAAATTCCAGGCCAGCTGGGGCTACAGTGAGACTCAGTCTTGAAAAACAATAGGGCTGGAGAGATAGCTCACCAGTTAAGAGCACTGACTGGGTTCGAATCCCCCACCCACGTGGCAGCTAACAACCATCTGTGACTCCAGTTCCAGGGGATCCAATGCCCTCTTCTGACCTCTGGGGGCACTGCACGACATGGGCGCATTTACATATATATATGCAGGCTTAAGTGTTCACATAAAAAAAAAATATTTTTAGAATTGAAAAAAAAAATCACAGGGTGTGGTGGTGCACGCCTTTAGTCCCACCACTTGGGAGGGAGAGCCAGGCAGATCTTTGTGAGTTCAAGGCCAGCCTGGTCTACATAGTGAGTTCAGGTCAGCCCGGACTACAGGAGACCCTGTCTCAAAAAGAAAAAAAAAAAAAATCTTATGCCAGGTGTGGTGGCCATGACTTTAATCTCAGCACTCGGGTGGCAGAGGCAGGAAGACCTCTGTGAGTTTGCGGTCAGCCTGGTCTACATAGTGAGCTCCAGGCTAGCTGGGAGACCCTGTGTCAAAAAGACCAAAATAATAATAATAATTTTTTTCTCTGCTTCCCAAGTGTTTTATTTATTTATTTTTTTGGTCTTTTTGACACAGGGTCTCCCTATAGCCCCAGCTGTCCTGGAACTCACTATGTAGACCAGGCTGACCTTGAACTCACAGCGATCCTCCTGCCTCTGCCTCCTGAGTGCTGGGACTAAAGGCGTGCGCCACCACACCTGGCGTGTGTGTATTTTTGAGACAGGGTCTCCCTGTAGCCCCAGCTGTCCTGGAACTCACTATGTAGACTAGGCCGGCCTCGAACTCACAGAAATCCACCTGCCTCTGCCTCCCAAGTGCTGGAATTAAAGGTGTGTTCCACCACGCCCAGCCAATAATAGTAAGTATTTAAAAACAACAACAAAATGGTGGAGAGCAATAAAGGTCCCCTGACCAAGCTCAGGCCGCCACAAGCACACACATGTACAAGAGCATGTATGCATACACATACACACACACACACACACACACACACACTCCCCACAAACCCCCAAGTTCTCCCTAGAAGAAATCAGACAGAAAAGGTCAGCCAAATAGACATGTGGACCCATCATCTTTTTCACAAGCCTTTCTCCACCAAGAATACAAACTTAAGAGGAGAGAGGAATAGACTTATCAAAGTCTGAGTCCTCAGAATCAGAAACACCATAATCCAAAAAAAGATACATACAAAACAGTATGTACACATGATCCCATCTGTTTTTTTTTTTTTAAACTATACATGCGCTGGGCATGATGGCGCACACCTTTAATCCTAGCACTCAGGAGGCAGAGGCAGGTGGATCTCTGTGAGCTCAAGGCTAGCCTGGTCTACACCGTGAGTTCCAGGACAGCTGGAGCTACAGGGAGACCCTGTCTCAAAAAGACCAAAAAAAAAACCCAAAAAACCTATACATGCCTATTTATACATAACCCCAAACAAAATCTGGAAGGATACACACTAAAATGTTAACAATGGTTCTTTCAAGATGTTGAGAATTATGAGTAGTAATTATTACTTTCTTCTTTGGGCTATTGTATATTCTCACAATACCTAGGTATAGTTTATAAAAGAATAGAATGTTGGCTTTTCAAAGGTTTTTAAGAAATGAACAGAATCTACCCAACTCACTAGGATGTCCTGGTTTGGAAAAACACATTAGCTGTAGGAAGTTACTTGAAAAGATTCACGGTCCCTGGGAGAAAGATTGAGTAACCTAGGTTGGGATGGAGGCTGGGGGACCATGCTCTTCACACAAGAGATTCCTGAGGCTTCACCTCCCTCTAGGGCTGAGATGGCGGCCAGTATTAGAGGCAAGGACCCTGGCTCTGTTTCCTGAGGAACTCTGGGACTGCTAGTTCTGCCCTGCCTGGGTCTGAGGGCCCCAGCTGCCCCCTTCCTTGCTCCAGGCCCACCACCTTTCGTAATCTGAGCCAGGCAGCCAGGGCAAACACTGGCTGCTGAGCCAGGAGCACCAAGGTGAGGCTGAATCAATAGTCTATGTGTTGTTTTTCCTCCTTCAGCAAACAGACAGCAGGACCTCTCTGCCTGGGGCCACATAACTGTCCCCACACAGGGCCCCTGACTGGCCACAAACCAACCTCCTAGGGTGGGCGGCAACCAGGAGATGTCCCAGTAAGCTGCTGGGGGTATCTTGTCTCAGTGCCAAGCTCCTAGAACAGTTTCTGTGCCTCCCCACAGCATTCTAATGCCATAGGGGAGGAGATCATTTAATCAGATGGCAAAGTGAAGGTACTCCAGCACACATAGGCTCTGGGAGCCAGACAGGCCTGTTTGCCAAATACTAGGAACCCCCTGCTTCTCCAGGGGCTGCCCTTAGCCACAACAGGCCTGACGGTGGCTGTCTAATCCTACAGGCTGAGGGGGATTCTACACACAATTCCTGGAGTATTTTCAGTTTACACCAAAATAACCTGACAGCTGATCGCAGAAGACATCCACAGACTCCACACCCAAGAGGGGCAGAGTCCAAAGAGCTCTAAAGCGTGCCTGGGAGACACAATTCCATGTCCCCTTGGGGGGATAAAGCCAGCATGTGCAATCAGGTGTTCCAGTGTAAAAACCCTGAGACCCCATTTAAGATGTGGGGCAAATCCATATGGAAACAGGACCTAGTCTCTTCTTGGGTTCAGACATCCCAAAGACATGACAAAGACCTTCTGACTTGTGAGAACTGTCTGCAGCTTCCAAATCAAGGCTGGGTTGATCTGGTCTAGTTCAGGTTCCAGCAGATTGCAGACGTAGCTGCAGCTGCTTGGCGTTAAAGGTGATTAACCAACTATTTAATTATCTTGCAGCACCCAGAAAGCAAGCTTCAGGGATAACTGAACAGGACAGGACCTCCCCGCCAAAAAGAGGGCCTGACTGCCTCTGCACAGAGTTCCCACCTATAGCAAGGGTCGGTTATAGCTTCTAAACACCAGTCAGCTCTGCATCAGCATCAGATACAGAGGACCCCCACATGCAAGACTGAGAACAATGAATGAACAGGCTTCTCCCCAACCCCCATCCCAGACTCTGACTCACCCTCTGAGTCCCAGTTGTCTCAAACCAGGAGGCTCGAAGTATTTCTAGCCTCTCCAGCTTCCCAGGGTGGGTCTTTCCCAGCACTCAGCTCTAGGTCTGACCACAGACAGAGCTGTGGTGCTCTTCCTGGATGTTTCTGTGGGCAAAGCCTTCTCCCTCCCCAGAACCTGCCAACACTGACAACCACTCCAGGCATCAAAACTACACCTATCCCCAGGTGTGTCTGCAGTTTTCTAGGCACTGAGGATATGGCTGGGACACTGGGCAAGTCACTCTGAAGGTTGCTAGGAAACCCAATCAAGTTTTTTTACAGGAGACCCCCCCACCCCCAAGGCAGGTCCTGTTACAAGCGTCGGGTAAAATTCCCGCTCAACTACTGTTCCCACTATGACCTTATACAAGTCACTTCTCTTTCTGGGCCTCAGTTTCCTTGGTGGTAAAAACTATTAAACCAGCTGTTTTCAAACTTTTTAAAACCACAGAATCCTCTTTAAAAATTCAAATTTTATATAGACGCCTACTGTATAAAACAGTAATCTTAAAAAACCGATCTGGTGGAACACTCTCCCTTGCTGTGTCCACACCTGGCCAGTGACCACTGCCACTCACTGGGCCACATCACCGCAAGGCAACAGCCTTGGTACTTCCCAAGTCAGAGAAAATCCCAGCGCTCCAGGTAGATGAAAGTCTGCTCTCCCAGGGCGCAAGGGCTGGGGGCGGTGGGAACGAAGACACTTGGCCAGGCAAGTGTCTGCCGTCAGACCTGTCTGGCAAACAGGCCGCCCCTTGGTCAGCCACCCACCCGGAGCAGCAGGAGCCTCAGTCAGGCCTCGGCAGGAGACACCCCCCCCAACCTCCCAGCGCTCGCCCGCGAATCCACCCCTGAGTGCTCGGGACGGACAGGTGTGCCGGCAGGGCGAACATCCGTCCGGGACCGTCTCCCGGCAGGACACAGGCCCTTGGTGGCCGCGGACGCGCAGGTCGCCGGCAGCCCCCGAGGACGGCGGGGAGGCGGGAGTACCCCAGCGTTTGCGGAACGCTCTCCTCTGCCCGCCCCAAGCAGGGGCCCCGCCAGCGCTTCCTGAGGTCAAAGGGCTCGCCCCGGCCCCAGCGGAAAAGTACCGGTGTGGGCCGGGGCAGGAGCGGCAGGGCCGGGGCCGCGCGCGCTCAGGTGGGCTAC